CGAGCATCCGTAGAGTGAAACAGGGAGGGGTGATATCTCCGAAACTGTTTAACATTAAATTTTCTGACATCCCACGCAGACGATTGTACCCTCGTGGCATCCGGACCCAACATTGATGACATTTGTGATTGGTGAAACGCTTACATAGTTGATGTAACCGCCTTTTTCACTGCGAGGAATATGAAGATATCCGCCACTAAATCTACGGCCTCACTTTTCACCACATGGACTGCGGAGATGAGGCTATCTTTGAATGTACACGTCGATGGTGTTGTAATTCCGACCACCAACTACGCCAAGGTCTTAGGGGTCACATTCAATAGCCTTTTCAAGTCGTCCGCGCATACCACAGCTATCTGCGACTAGATTAGGCCGATAGCACTTGGGGAGCTTATAAGGAAACCTTATTGACCTCTTACAACGCGATAGGTGTGTGGTGCGGCTCCGGTGTGCTCCGCCAACGATAGTGCTACGCAGTGGAAAAATATGCAGTCCTGCAAGAATGCCGCCCTTAGAACCGCAACAGGGCGCATGACAGCTGTCGACCACCTACATGAGGAATCGAAGGTCTTACCGGTGCGACAGCATAATAAAATTCTGTTAATGCAATACCTGCTTGGATGTTACAGACAGAACCATTCGAATGGTGAAAGGCCTTCATGATCAAGAGAGAGAGAGAGAGAGAGACAGAGCCTCTAGATCAACAGGCATATCAAGTGGGACTGAATAGTATCCACTCTAAAGCTGTCTCAGAAGTCATGGAGGGATATAGAGTGAATACTGCAAGTTCGGCCGGGCCGAACTTTGAATACCCTCCACCAATTGGAACGAATTTAGCAATTTTCAAATAAATAAAATCCATTAAAAATTCATAAAAATACCAAATGCAGCCGTTAAATTGGGGTCTGTACGACGACGACGGACCTGCATAGGCAACTTTTGCCAATATTCGGATGCGAAACTTGAAAAAAATGCTGCGAATAATGTAGTAAATCAAAATCATCAAAATACTGAATATAGGGAGGTACCATTATATGGGGGATAATCCAAAACGTGGACGTGCACAGACAATTTTCTGTCATAGGCTGTAGTATCCATTACGAACTTAAAATACCAAATTTGAAACAATTCCAATGAACAATGTCGTTAAAATCATCAAAATACCGAATATCGGGAGGTACCGTTACATGAGGAATGTACGAAATGTAGTATACATTATGAACTTCGAATAACAAATTTGAAACACTTCGGGTGAATAATGTCGCTAAAATCATCGAAATTCCGAATACCAACCATCCTAGACATAATACAAATTGTTCTGCCAAATTTTGAAGCTCTACGTCAAATAATGTGGTCAGTGTCGTGATTTCAACAGTCAGACTGGCGGACATCGTTAAATCGACTTAGAATTTTATGCTGATCATGAATACATATACTTTATGGGGTCTACGACGAATATTTATGGATGTTACAAACGGAATGACAAAGTTAATATACCCTCCTTTTTAAGATGGAGGGTATATATTCCGCTTTTTTTGTTAGCTACAGAAAATAAACTTCATCAGCCGCTCAAAAATACAATTATGCAATACAATCAGATAATAATACAAAAACCAAACTATATTCGATTTTATAGTATCTATATTTATAACGAAGTCCACATTATAATATAAAGATTTTAAATTTACACTCATTTTACCTATCGCCTAGATTGCGTAGTTTGGAAACCGATAAATAAAAATGTTTCTCTTCTTTCCAATGAAAATATCTTTTCCAAAATAAAATACCCATAACGTCCATCTTTCGAAACGCACTGTAAGTATATTTTGGCTTCGAAGGAATAAACTAAAAAAGGGGAGAATGATTTGATGTTCGTCGCATGTTTTTTGTTCACGTTCATTCGTCATCGCTAGTTGGTTGTTTAGCAGCGCTCTGTTGGTAATATGCTCTTGTTTTGTGTTTTTCATAGCTATGTAGCTACATATGTGTGTATATATGAATGTCTAATAGTGTTCCGCTCCCACCGGTAGGTACATAATGTTAAATTTTGTTATTATTATTATTATTGGGCTATGCAATAAAGCTTAGACTGAAGAGGAAAACCGAATAGCAACGAAAAAAGGAAAACAAGAGTAGGTATAATAAACTAAAGTTTGTTTGAGCCGAACCTCTTGCGCCCTTCACCATGAGAAAAATCTAAAAAATCACTTTCCAAATTCAATAAAAAAACAATAGAGACATACAAGAGTCGAACAGAGCTGACACTGAATATATCAGCAGATCTAGCTGGAGGTAATTGTGTGCTGTATACGACCTCTCATATCCAACACCTTTCCTATAACTGAGAGAATTTCCTCTCTCGTGTGCAAATTTTGCTAAAAGTTCTCCAACAATATTCAGTAGAATCTACAAGAAAACAGCTGTTTCAATTTGCCTGGAATATTTTTACATTGGCCATAAAACAGCTGTTTTTCAATCAACTAATGTTAGTGGATAACTTTTATTGATTTAATTTTCCTAGTAGGATTTTGGAAACTCTCAGTAATTCAACTGTCAAAATTGCTCTCGTTTTTCTGGACTTTTGGGTTATCGAACAACATTTTGTAATATATTTTCTTCAAAATATTGGGATATCGTAAACACCTTCTATTGTTTATTAACCAGACTTCATCTGGGGCTTGATATTGTCTGCTCGATATATTCGTTATGTATTTACAAAGCATTGACATCAGGTTTGAGTGACAGATATAATTTGGCATTTATTTTGTGGACTCCCAAAAGGGCTTTATACAAATTTTCGAAACGGTCTAGATAGCGCCATCAACCCAATGTGATCACTTGGCAGATAGGTATTTTCAAAATGGACTCTTCGGGCTTTAATAAAGGATCCGATTTCAAAAAAATATATAATGTTGATACATCTGAAGATAATTTGGATAATTGATAGGTATTTTTGTATATGCGATCGATTTCGTGGACCCCGATTTTTTATAAAACCCCCAAAAAGTAGAAACAAAATTGATGCCATATTATAGCTGACACTCTTACCTTTCCATAATGCTACAATTTGGGTATGTTCAACCGGCCCCCCGTAGCTGGCCTTCGGCCGGGGCTTGAGATTATCTCATCTTTTCCGGATTCAGGGTAAAAATACCTACCACTGGAAAAAAATTTCGAAAAAATCGAAGAGTTTTTGCTAAAATAGATTTGTTTATTTTTATACCTTCAGCCATATGGCTAGAGCGGGTATATATCATTCGATACGGCCAAAGCGTGCCTCATCGAAATAACGGGTTTAGACCCTAGGTCTCTTTGAACAAAATTCGTTTCAGGACATTTTGTGTCAAATTTTCAAAGAAAATATTTTATTGCACAGAGAAAGAACGGATAATCCGATTTTGCTCCTACTTTGCAAATCCTAATAGTTGCATCAGTTCTAGGTCTGGTGCGAAAATGGACAATATCATTACACTCCATCAAGTTACACTCCAAGAGTCAACATTTCGAATAATTATAACTCGTTTAAAATGTGATGCACACATGAGAATATTTTTATTAACCCAAGGTCTATTGTGAAAAACCGACATATCGGTCTACTCCTCCCCCACAAATGGTCGACATTTTCAAACAAAAATTTTACTTCACAGAAAGAGAAAGGATAATTTTAGTACCTCACCCACAAAGGGTCAAAATTTTGAATATCCATGAAGCTCATAAAACGCGAAGTTAACATTCGATTCCATTAAGACATGGCATATCTCAATATTTCCATAAACACAAGATCTGTTATAAAGATTGTGGAGCCGGACCATTCCTTCTGGTACCTCCCCAACAAAAGGTCAAAATCGTATATATCAATGGAGATCATTTAACGCGAAATTAACATCCGACTCCATTCAGACTTGACACCTCTGAATATTTCTATCAACACAAGATCTGTTATAAAGATGGTAGAGATCGGAAAATTGCTTCTGGTACCTCCCCCATAAAGGCTAAAAATGTTGAATAACCAAAACGATCATAAAATCCGAAATAAGCATTCGGTTCTCTTCAAACTTCACACATGTCATTAATTTTACTAACTCAAGATCTGCTGTGAAAATAGGATATATCAGCGCACTCTTTCTGGTAATTCCCCCACAAAGGGTTCAAATTTTTTTAAAAACAAAACATGAAACAAGCAACCGTCTCTCTTCAAATTTCACACATCCAAAAATTTTTGCGCAAGTCAACGAAGAAGGCTATGGTTACACATCTGTCAACAAAACCGACTGAAAGACCCATATCTCTGGACCCAGAAAAGGTATTTGCATAAATTGTAGCCTTTTGGAAAGGTAAGACTGTCCGCTATAATTTGCCCCCATAATGGGCCTTTTTCGATCTTTTGGGGGTTTTATAAAAAATCCGAGTTCAGAAAATCGATAATTTGACTATAACTTGCGAACCGCTTATAAATAACCCCATCATGTGAACACTTTTATAAACTTTTAAACGATACCTGATATTGTCTATATCGGGTAAGTGGATCTAGCCCGGTTCTTGAGCCCGGACTTTTGGGTCAAAAATCTGGGGTCCCGTGTCCGTCCCCCAAGAAAACAATAGTTTCCCGGAATCAGGGTAAAAATTAAAAAGTTTTTACTAAGCTAGATTTAAGACGAAAAAGGTTACGCGTTTATCCAAAGTTACTTACCTCTAGTTTTAAACAAAAAGTGCATGTTTAAACAACAAAATTAATAAATCTTATAAAATCCATTACAAAATTTTTCAGAATCATATACCTGTGCTGCATTATGTAGGGTACTTAACTGAAAACCCAATTTGAATTTTCCATCCAAATAAATGTCTTAAAACAACCCCACCACTAGCTTTTGTTTGGCGTGCATGCTCATCACGGCAACATACCTACATTCCCGCCAACCAAACAAATAGACATTTACTCTCTTGTTATCCCACAGATAGATATTGTTGTGCTCTCTTCTAGATATTATGTATGTACTTACAATTTGTAGATTTGTTTGTACGAATGTTTTGATTGGAAGCTGTTGATTCACTGCTTTAATTATTTGAAATATTTGGGTGGAGAAGTAATTGTTTGTTCGCGATTTGAAACTATTTTACAATATTGCACTTTTTATTTTTATTTGGTATTATTTTGATTTAGGAAGTTATAAATTATTTAAATGGATAATTCTTTTTTGTTTTGTGATTCTCTTCACAAAATATATTCACAACAAATATTCGTCATTTCAGGCGAATGCGTGGAAAACCAAATTGAAAGACGTCCCCAACGAAACGAATTTGAAAGCCAATAAGGAATACCCGATAAAAATTGAACAGAAAGCAAAATCACGGGTTACTCTGTTGTTTACGAATGAGACGAATGCAAAACGCTCTGTTTCATATCGTTTCTAACCGAAAACAACTGTTATCTATGATTTGTCATAGATAAGGGATATCTAAGTCGACATTTCTGTGTTAGAAAATATAATTATCGATTTTTTGTCATCGACATCACGATTTAATATTCTAAAGGCTCCCACTCAATATTAATCTTGCTATACATCCGACGGACATGGTAAAATCCATCCATCGAATCCATGGTAAAATAAAATTAAGGCAGAACACCGAAACTAATCGATTTTTTGTTCACCTGGCTTAATATGTTCTCTTCAATCATAGGAAAATTGTTGGAAAAATTTTCAAATTCAGTTGTAATCAAAATGGGCATTACGACATATGTGTGGAGAAAATTTACTCTTTTTATAGCGATAAAAATCTTTAGAGAAATATAGGACATGATTTTGAAAAGACCTTTGACCTTTCATTCAATTTTCGCGTTTTGTTTTTTGTTTATTTAAGGCAATGTTACAAATTGTTTTTTATAATAAACAACTTGTTGCATTCGCTCTGATAGTAATTTTGACGTTACAATCCATACAGGTCGGTCTCTTTACTTACAACATTTTTCAACTTCACCTACCTTCTCTTCATTGTACCATGAGAACACCCATCTTACACAAAAAAAAAAATGAATTTTTAATTTTTAACTTAATTTCTTTTTTATTTCAAAACAATAATGGCAAATTATATAAGGTATTCTCGTGCAATTATATGATATACAATTTTTGTTCGCAAATGTTGATTAAAACTTTCAAAATAAAAAAAACAACTAAAAAGACATTAAGTTCGATCGGGCCGGACTTCAAACACCCTCCACCATTGGGTAGAGAAAACATTTTTATGCAAAAATATCTGGATTCAAACGTGTTCCACTTTAAGCTACAAACTCCGATAAAATCGGTAGGAGAATGATTGAAGCCGTTATACTAAAACGGGAGCCATACTGCAACGCTTGTAATCTATTCCAAGTCTTAAATACCAAATTTTATATAATTTCGTGGGTAAATGTGACTAGGATGACTAGGACCAATATGGACAATATTTTGACGCCGCTTGTTGAATCCATTATGAAGTACAATTACCAAACTTCACACAAATCTAATAGAAAATGTAGTTTAAATCGTCAAAATGCCGAATATCCGATGGAACCGTTATATGTGCTCTATATGAAAACGTGGACCTAGATATTCGATGTTCTGCCATCGGAGGTAGAATCAATTACGAGCTACAAATACCAATATTGAGACAAATCCTTAGAAAAATATGGGTAAGACCATCAAAATACCGAATATCGGGAGGTACCGTTATACGGGGGCTATATGAAAACGTGCATCTATATGTACAATGTTCCTCATCGGAGCTAGAACCCATTACCCATTAAATATCGAGTATCGGGAGGTACCATTATATGGTGGCTATCCAAAAACGTGGACCGATATATCTCATTTTCAATACCAACCATCCTAGACACAAAGCAAAAAACGGTACCAAATTTTAAAGCTCTACGTCAGAAAATGTGAGCTGTATCGCAATTTCAACAGTCAGACAGACGGACATCGTTCAATCGATGTGTTGATCATGAATATACATACTTTTTTGGGTTCTTTAACGAATATTTAGAGGTGTTACAAACGGAATGACAAATTTAATATACCCTCCTTACCAAGGTGGAGGGTATAAAAACTCGTTGAAAATGTACTCACATGTTGTGTTCTGTGGCACAAAATATAGAGTTGTTTCAATCGGTTTTAATTACGCGTTTTATGAGCTCCATGGATATTTAAAAGTTTGACCCTTTGTGGGACCACAGGAGATTTTGTGTAAGTAGAAATAATTACAGTAGCACTCATTCTCATTTTCACCTCACTACCGGAGGCAAACATTTATGAAATTATAATCAAAATAAGAGAATTTTTTAGGGGATTATTGTTTTTTACAAGGATTAACATTTTAGATTGTTTTGTCAATAACCACGAAATGTGAACATTTTGTGTGGACCAACTAGAAGTACTTTTAATATTTTAGTATTCGCCAAGAAATTCTTTATTACAATTTTTTCACATATCGGAAAAGCAGGTAGCGATTGTTTCCATTACACGAAGTCAGCCAAAATAAAAAATAGATTCAATGTCATCAAATTAATTCGACGTTTAAATCCAGCTTCTGCCTGTGCCGACTTTTCCTGCGAAAAATTACAAGAGCTGGGTATAAAGTGTACAGATTCCCACAATGACGAAGGATATGTAATTTGGGTTCTAATTACGCCGTGGTTGTTGGCGGTAAATGCAACAACTAATACACAGCAAAAATGACACCACAAGTATACGAAATGTACTTACGTGATGTTCACTCAAATAGCACAGTCACTTTATTTAAAATAAAAGAAATATTGTCCGTCGACAAGTTTATTTGTTTGGAATTAGTGGTTGTTGATCAAGACGATCCTTTATTTAGCAACTAAACTTTTCTTAGTTACGACACAACTTCGATCACCTAATAGCACTCCTCACAGTGTTTTTAGATAAGTCAATAATTTTCCTTGAAGGTTTCTAAAAAAGTTAGTTATGATCCTTCAGAATTATGTGGCGTTTCCACTGCACTTGATTCGCTCTCTATTCGTTGTTTGACCCTTAACTATGAAAAAACTACTTAATTCTTCACACAAAATTTCCTGAGCGAACACTCATATTTGTACATAGTTCAAATCAAATCACTCTCAGAACAACGAAAATGTATGTCCCATCCCTAAAAAATGAGAGCATTTATCGAAAAAATAAATTATGACATTTAAAAATTAAAACTAAAAAACTTTAATGAAATTTTAAAAATTTTTGGGAAGACTGAAAATTATGAATGAAAACTACAATGTTGAATGGCGTATGTACATTCAAACGAAAGTACATTTTGTTTTCTCTTTCATTAGAGGTACGCATTTTGTCCACGAGTTGAAATTTCCATAGAAAACTGCAAACAAAAGAGGCAATATTTTCAAAATGTTTGTATCTGCAGAAAAAAATGTTGACAAGTGTCTCTCCAGCAAAATTTAAAAATAGAAAAATTCAAAAATATGTTCAAAATGTCAAAATTAATACAAAAAGTTGAAAACATGAATGAAAACTGTAAAATTAATGATATAATTATTCTTTGGAAGAAAAACAATAATTTCTTCTATTCATATCAGTGAGAATTTCATGTATTTTTGTATAAATTCCCATTCAAATCAACAAACAAAATTTTTGAAAAAATGAATTATTTTACTAAGAATTACGAATCGTGCCGTATGAACGGGTTAATTCGTGTACCTAATTCTGAGAGCGAACAACGTTGTTCGGTTTTCAATGGAAACATGCTATTAGACTGAAGTTTCGAATATTCAATGCTATCGATTTCGTAACTGCGTTTGTCAATAACAACAATCATATTTACTCCAAGAGATGTTTCTCGAATATGACAGTAAAAACTATTATTACCAAAGAATTGTTTAACATGTCAATGACCCTATAAATACCAATAAGATGAGAAGTTAGGTTCCACACACGAATAATTGTGTTAAATTTAAATAATTCAACTGTCAAAGGCATAGTAGTAAAGGTTATAACAGTTGCTTAATATTTATTTCACGGAATTACTCGTGTTGTGGGCCGGAATTAATCTATGCATATACATATCCACACTGAAGGTTTAAAAAATGCCCATGTTTTTGTAAACAACCACTATCTCATCCATCACCTCAATGTTTTGATTCGATTCCATGCAATCACAAAAACATTCTCCTTCAGTATTCCACTCGAAAAATTGTCACACTAATTGTTTGGCTTTTCTTTTACTACATTTTTATTGACCACACAAAAAATCTTATTCCCCAGAAAACAGGGAAATTCCTTATAATGCACTCCAGGTTGAACGTGAACTTAAGATCTAATTTCTGCGAGTGTATGTGTTGGTGGAGGGTTGAGTCAATTGAAGACCACGGATGTTGTGGAAGTCCAACAACTTCAACATCTCCTTGGTATCAGGATCGACTTCAATGATATCTTGTTCCAAAGCAGAAACAGCGGGAACATAGTTATCACGACGTTCACGTTCTTCTTCTTGCAACTTGATGGAAATACCACGCACTTGAGAGTGGCGGAGACGGCCCATCAAATGGGTAACATAGCTAAAATAACACAAAAAAAAAAGAAAGTTAGTACATCCGGAAGGGGCATAGCAGCATTTTTAACTTACCCGGCAATCTTGTTTCTCAAGGGCTTGGTGGGGATAATGGCGACTTCTTCGCAGATACGCTTGTTGGTATGGAAATCCGAAGTCAAGCGGGTGTAGTATTTCTCAATGATGACCTTGGCGGCCTTCTTGATAGTCTTGGTTCTTACACGACCCTTTTAGTTGTTAAAATCCATTTTGATTTGCATCCATTTAGTGGAAAACATCGACGACAAGGCATGATTGTAAATGGTAGAGAAGAGGAAAACAAAGAAAATTAGTTTATTTTTGTTTATCACTTGTTTTTTCATCTTTTCCATTTGATTTTTCTATGAAATTTTAATAACACTCGATTTTTCATTGCTTTATGTTCGTTTTTCTTTTATTATTTATCACAAAATTGTTTGGATGTTATTAAATTTTCACGATTTCTATAAATATTTTCTCAAAACGACACCTACCATGGCGGAAGATTTTACCGGAAAAGAACAGCAAAAAATTAACTTTCAATGAATGTCATTTTGACAGCTGTCATTTTGTTTATTTTCATAGCACACAGCTTTTGTTTGGCTCTATAAAAGAGGGATGTGTTTAATGAGCATAACTCTGACTTGACGTTAGAGGAAAATTACAAAATTACAATTGTTTTGTTTCTTGGTAAAAATTGGATAACACTTGAAAAGAGGAATTTATTTTAATATTCTGGTATGTATTAGCTATTGTAGATTGTGTTTAATTTGTGTTGATAATAAATAATAAATTTTTCATAAATAAAATCATAGTAAAGACTATTACAACTTTATGCTTTATAAAATTAAAATTATATTTCAGATTGTATGTGAATAGATGAAATATGGAAATGATTTAGTAAATAACCCAAGACCAGATTTACATTAACCCAACATTGACAATTGGCACAGGACATTTGCCGATTATCATGTGAGAAAATATAGATATTTTTAAAACAATCTTAAATTCTTGGCAAGGAAGTTCTTGAAACATTTTTTATGCCCTCAGCCATATGGCTAGGGAAGGGTATATATCAATTGATACGGCCAAAACGTGCCTCTTCGAAATAACGGTTTTAGACCCTACATCTCTTTGGACCATTTCAGGACATTCGGAATCGATTTAGCGATGTCCGTCCGTCTGTCTGGTACATCTTGATATTATTGTCAAACTTAGATCGAGATAATTTTCACACAGCGAAAATGAACAATATCAAGTACCTCCCCAACAAAGGGTCAGCATTTTGAACAATTATAACTCTTATAACATGAAATGTAAGTGTCCGATTGTCTTGAAATTTCATACATCTCAATAATTTTATTAACCCAAGGTCTGGTGTGAAGATGGAATATATCGGTCCACTCCTTTTAGTACCTCCCCCACAAGGGGTCACAAATTTTAGTATCCATGAAGCTCATATAACGCGAAATTAATATCCGCTTCTATTCAGACTTGGTACATCTCAATACAGGGTGAGATAAAAAACTGCAACAAAGTCAAACGACATAATTTTTACATTTTATTGAATGAAAGCAAAAATGTCGGAAATAGCATCAAATTTTAGAATAAGTTTAATAATAAGGCACGAATTATGGCCTTCAAACTGCCAATGAAACCGTCACACGCTGCCCGAATTTTACTCTGCGGTGTTTTGGGCCATTCCCGGCGAAGCGCTTGCTTGAGGTGATCGACACTTTGGTATTTTTTAGAGCCAACATTGCTTTCCAAAATACTCCAGGTACAATAGTCCAACAGATTGGAATCCGGAGATTTTGGCGGCCATTCTTGGGTGGCGCGTGTTGTGTGCGATGGTGCTGAGTCCTGCTGGAATGTCCAAGGTCTGCGTCCGAAATGTTTGCGTCCCCAAGGCTTTAATACACCCTCCAGAATATTTTCGCGATAATTTTCGGCATTTATTCTGATGCCACGGTCGATTGATACGAGTGTGGAGCGACTATCGGTTGTTATGGCGGCCCACACAATCACCATGGGCGGCGCTTGAGTTCTGGTGGCCAACAGAAGGTGCACATTTTCAGCTGACCTCTTAGGCAAGTAAACACGATAATTTTATTTGTTTACAAACTGCTGGACAACGAATGCTTTCTCACCCGAGAAAACCAAATTCGGCAGATCACCACTTTCGGCCAAGAGAAGCAACTCTTTAGCTCTTTCGAGTCTATTTTCCTTCTGTTGCGGTGTAAGTTCTTGCACTTTTTGGTATTTCAATGGTTTTACCCCGAGCTCATTTTTTAATATTTGCCGAATGGAATATTGCGATATGTTCAGCGCACGAGCCATGTTTCAGCCACTGCTACGCGTTATTCGATCAAGTCGCTTCTGTACGTTTCGAACCATTTCTGTTGATGTTGCTGTTTTCCTTCGTAGAGTTCGAACCATTCCTTCTGGTACCTTACCGTTAATGGATCACAATTTTCAATACTTTTTTCTGTCAAAAATTGCGGAACAAGTCAGTGATTCTTTACAACTTGCTATCTCTAAACATTTTTCTCAGCCAGAAACCTGAGATGAATATGAAATTTTTGATTTACGAATAAAATTGGATATAAATGATCGATTTTCTTGTAATTTTTCCCATACCAATATTTTTATCTGTATTAGATGAAGTATAAAAATGGAATGCTTCAGTCGACTATATCTGGTACATCACACACCCTTGAACACTTTTTAAAAATTATCACATATCTCATACCAAGTGAGGGAAGTAGTCGATATAGTCCAAACTTGGCATGTCGCAATATGTATATCATATTTATATAGGTCCGATACGAAATGAAAAATATTGGCCCATTCCTTCGGAATCTACTCCATGGAGGGTCAACAATTTCAATAATCATAACAGAAGTCAAAATATGTTTAAATAATCGAACAATCTTCTCAAATGCAACGTATCCGTAGGGCGGTAAATTCGATTGTTCGTTATGTGTATGGCTTGCGTCGTGGTGATCATGTTTCTTGTTTTGTTAATGATCTCCTGGGATTGCCATTTAGCAGCTACGTTGATCTTCGTATTCTTCAATTTCATTACAGTGTTATGTGCAATTTTGACTCGCCTCTTCGTGACAACTTTGTGTTTTGTAGATCATCTCGAAATCCTCAATTGTTGTGTCCAAGGTTTTCGTCCTCCATTGGTGAGAGATCATTTGTGGTTAGGGCGGTGAGATTGTGGAATCAGCTTCCTTTGGCCTTACGTTCTTTTGCCCATACCAATTATCTGTTTAGGGTTAAAGTAATTGAATACCTTCGCCTAAATATGTAGGCTATGTTTTTGTAGTGGTTGCGTCGGTTTATTATGGGTTTTTCTTTTTTGCTTTTCTTTTTGTTTGGGCTGGGGAGCCACTATATTATCTTCTTAATTTTATTTGTAGGGTATAATGTGAGTTACTATTTATACTCTGTTTTGTGAGTAATAAAATAGTTCTCTCTTATTTTTAGCTCGTTTCTGCTACACTTTTTCACTGCTCTACTAGACTATTGTTTAGTTGGTGATGGTGAATCGAGGTGTAGGGTTCGAGCTTCTCGTGAATTATTAAGATAAATTATTAGGTTTAATATGTTATTTGTTAAGTTTGAATTAATCATTGAATTTGTATTATGTTAGGGTATTGTAGATAGATAATATAAGTTATGGGCCCTGTGGGCTTATTTATATTTCTTTGTAAGGTAAATAAATGAAATGAAATGGCTGAGGGTACACATCTGTCGGCAAAACTGGTACTTTTTAACTTGTTTTTTACTATCTCCACAAAAATCAAATATAAAAAAATATTCCATGCACAATGTTTATTGGACTGCATTTTTTATTTTTGTATTTGTATTTTTTTACAATCTAAATTTATTACTTGTGATTTTTTTCATTTATGTTTTAAATAATTTTCCTTAATAAAAATCGGTTAATGTAATAATCAAACAAAAAAACAGAGCACAAAACATCGATAGGTTTAGGCGACAGCGAATGGGAGGGAAATTGTAAAAATGTGACAAAATAAAAGAATTCAGAATATCCTAAGTGAAAAGGCAATGAAGTGTTTGTGTGGGTGTGTTTTTGGAAAGTATTTTTTTTTTAATATTAAGGCATTGAGAACAGTTCAACTGTCTCAAGAAACATATATTAAAATAATAACTTAAATGAGAATTTATGGTTTTGGTTGGTGAATACAAATCAATTAAAAGAAAAAAACTGTGAATTACAAAATATTTGTGGTTTGGGAGAATTTAACTTATTAAAACGGTAATTTAGTTGAAAACAAGATATTGAAATAGAAATAATAAATTAGAAATAGATTTAATTTTTTTTTTTGTTATAGCGCTTTGTGGATAATCATAATGATAATTGGTTTAGCTGTTTTCTTATCTCTTTTTTCTAAGCGCTTAATTTTTTTTCTTTTCCATTTTTCAAACTTAAAATAATCCCCAATGTGGCGTGAATCTTTTGCCTATTTATGGGTGAGGGAGAATTGTGGTTGTTTTGAAAATTCGTTAAAGTGAAGCTAACTAAATAGACTTTCAGTCGCTTTTTCCAAATCCCAGTTCTCTTTCGACAGTACGGCACGTGCATCATGTTCGTCGATGCCCATATCCTTCAAGCGTTGAATTTTAGCATCACAGTCGGGATATTTGTGGGGGCCTGTAATTGAAAACAAAAAAAAGAAAACATTGTTTATTTTGCAAATTAAAACAAGACAGAAAGTATCAGTCGGTTTTGCCGACAGATGTATACCCTCAGCCAATGTTCGATTATTTAAATATATGTTGACTTCTGTTATGATTATACAAATTGTTGACCAAATATACAATATTGTATATTGGGCCGATATATTGTCGCACCTAAATAAATGTGATATAAAAATTGCGACGTGCCAGGTTTGGACTATATCGACTACTTCCTTCATTTTATATGAGATATGTGATAATTTTTAGAAAATGTTAAAATATGCGTGGGTTACAAGATAAAGTCGATCGAAGTATTTAAATTTCATTCATTGTCTAATAAATAAAAAAATATTGGTATGGACAAAAATGACGAATATTTACAGGATGAGGCGAAAAAACTGCAACCAACTTTAGACTGGTGTCATTTCTAAGTCACTCGTCCGACAGCTGTTAAAATTATTCCGGCGACAGCTCATTTTATTGTTTACAAGCGCACAAATACAATTTGGTGAAAATTTTCCAGAAAATAGCGTGATAGTGGGATTTCTTTATATTTGTGGGGGAGGTATCAGAAAGAGTGGACCGATATATCCCATCTTCACACCAGATCTCGTGTTAGTAGAAATAATGTGATGTGTAATATGAAGTGAATCGGATGCTTATTTTTGGATTTTATGATCGTTTTGGTTATTCAAAATGTTGACCCTTTTGTGGGGGAGGTACCAGAAGGAATAGTGCGATCTCTACAATCATTATAACAGAAATTGATTTGATAGAAATAATGAAATGTGCCGTGTTTCAAAGGAATTGGATGCTTATTTCGTGTTTAACGAGCTTCACGGCTTTTCAAAATGTTGAACCTTTGTGGGGGAGGTATCGGAAAGAGTGGACCGATATATCCAATCTTTACACCAGATCTCGTGTTAGTAGAAATAATATGATGTGTGAAATAGGAAGAGAATCGGATGCTTATTTTGGATTTTACGATCGTCTTGGTTATTCAAAATGTCGACCCTTTGTGGGGGAGGTACCAGAAGGAATAGCCTGATCTCTACCATAATAGTCTGATCTCTACCATATAATAGTTCTTGTTTTGATAGAAATATTGCGATATGCCAAGTGTGAATGGAATATGATGTTAACTTGGCGTTTTATGAGCTTCATGAATATTCATGGAATGGAATGGAGGAATCTACTGATATTTCCCATCTTGACGCCAGATCTTGGGTTAATGAAAATATTGTGATGTGTAAAATTTGAAGACAATCGGACTCTTATGTCACAAAATGTTGACCCTTTGTGGGGAGGTACTTGATGGAGTAGGCCGATATTGTCCATTTTCACACCTTACGTAGCACTGATGCAAATATTAGAATTTGCAAAGTTGGAGCAAAATTGGATTATCCTTTCTCTTTCTGTGCTTTAAAATATTTTTTTTTTTTAAATTTCGAGTTTTTGTGGGGGATTTAACAGAAAGAGTGTACCGATATTGGCCATCTTCGAACTCAATCTAAGTTTGAAAATAATATTATGATGTAATAAGTTTGGATCGAATCGGATACTCCCTTCGAGAGTTATCGTGCGCACCAGTCAGACAGACAGATCGGCTTCAAATGTCCTGAAACGCATTTGGTCCAAAGAGACCAAGGTTCTAAAGCCGCTATTTCGATGAGCCACGTTTTTGGCCTTATCAAATGAAATATACGATCTGTCTCCAGTGTGTTTTCTTTCTGGATTAGAATTACAGACCACTTCTTTAAAGTTAAAATCGGTAAACTGTTGCTCTACTTGAAATGAAAGTGTTAAATCCCTCGATTTCGTGCTCATCGAATGATTTAAAATTTTTTCTAATGTATCTACAGTCATTTGTAAAAATTGATAGCATTTAACAAACCTCCAGCATAAACGTTTGTCCAATGCCTAGCCGTCATTACGAATAGCTGATATTTATCTTTGTATTGATAAGCAACAACAGCATCTTGGGGATCATCTGGTTCTGCTGCAGCCAATAGAGCTTGTAATGACAACAACACGGTACGTAATGTCATGGCAGCGGCCCTATAAATGAACTTTATGTTAAACAATTCAAATCTTGATTAACTTAGACAATACCTACCAGTTATCTTTTAAAATATCCAAACATATAGCACCTGTGACTGATGATATATTGGGATGCCATATTTTTGTTATAAAACGAACCTGAAATTGTATAAAAATTAATCAATTTCATTCCATTACCACCATTCGATGGAGACTCACTTTAGGGGGATTAAAGGGATATGTTTCGGGAACTTTAATTTCCAAAACAAATTTGCCTCCCTCATAGGGTGTATCTGGTGGACCGGCTATTTCACCGCGCAATTCGGTCCAACTGTCGTTGATCAATTCAATTTTTATCGAACACTGGACAATCTGAAAGAAGACAATTTAAAAAAACGGAAATTTCACGTTAGATATAGTTAATATATCTTAAATGGTTGTAAAAGAAAAACTAATAGATTCGAAAAGAAATTATAATTCATGGCGTATAAAAAGAAAAAAAAAACTTGAATATTCAAAACATATCACATTCATAAAAAAGTTACTTAAACTTGACATTTTCAAAAACATGAAATTTTGTATAGATGAATATTGGAGCACACATCCGATTTTGCAATGTGGTCGAAAGCTGGAATATCACAACTATTCATAAACAAGAGAACTTAGCATATACTTTGACGACCTGCTTCTCCTCTATTCACACGTCAACTTAATCATTTAGAAGATAAAAATCAGGAATATAGTTCTTAAAAAATAGAAATCTTTTGATGGGTTTACAGGGTGAGATAAAAAAAACTGCAACAAAGTCAAACGCCATAACTTTTACATTTTTTTAAATGTTATTGAATGAAAGCAAAAAATGTTCGAAATAGCATCAAATTTTAGAATAAGTTTGGGACGAATTAGGTCTTCAACACCCACGCTGTCCGAATGTTGCTCTGCGTTATTTTGCGAAGCGCTTGCTTGAGGTGATCGACACTTTAATATTTTTTAGTGCCAACCTTGCTTTCCAAAATTCTCCAGACACAACAGTCCAACGGATTGGTATCCGGAGATTTTGGTGGCCATTCTGGGCTGGAAATGAAGCGAGGAACCTCATTTTGTAACCATTCTTGCTGAGTTCAGATGCAATGCCCAAGGTCTGTGGCCAAAATGTTTGCGTGCTCAAGGCTTTAATACAATCTCCAAAATATGTTGGCGATAATATTCGGCATTTATTCTGAAGCCACGGTCGATTAATACGAGCGGAGAGCAACCATCGGCTGTTATGCCGGCCCACACCATCACCATGGCCGGGGCCTGAGTTCTGGTGGCCAATCGAAGGTGCACATTTTCAGCTGACCTCTTTGGCAAGTAAACACGATAATTTTGTTTGTTTACAAACTGCTGGACAAGGTACATCTACCTTGCTGCTGGACAAGAATGTTTTCTTGTCGGAGAAAACCTAATTCGGCAATTCACCCTTTTCGGCCAAGCGAAGCAACTCCTTAGCTCTTTTGAGACCATTTTCTTTCTGTTGCGGTGTAAGTTCTTTCACTTTTTGGAATTTAAATGGCTCAGGGTAAAGCCCATTTTTCAATATTTGCCAAATGGAATATTGCGATACATTCAGTTCACGAGCCATTTTTCGGCCACTGCGACGCGGGTTTCGATCAAGTCGCTTCTTTACCATTTCTGCTGATGTTGCTGTTTTCTTCCATCCACTTCCATGACGTCGGGCTACGCTACCAGTATCACGGTAACGAGAGATGGTACGAGACACAAAAGATTTATTCACATTTATATGCTGGAGTGCTCTAACGATAGCCACTTGTGGTTTTCCAGCCAAATATAAAGAATTCACTCTTGAATTCCATCACGTTTTTTTTTTTTTTTTTTAGAAAATTCTCACCGGAATTATTTTGTAGGCTTGTAAACAATATAACGGGCTGTCACTGGAATAATTTTAGCAGCTGTCGGACGAGTGGTTTAGACATGACAGCAGTCTGAAGTTGGTTGCAGTTTTTTCAGCTCACCCTGTATATACTTTATGGGGTCAACCTTCTTTTTTATAGGTTCTTTGCTGATTTTTTTCTTTTCATTGTTCAAGGAATTACTCAGAAATAGATTTCTGATGTTTTTCTTTAAGGGATCTCGGCATTTCTTTTTTTGGCAATTTCAGAATTAATGTTTCTAATACATTTTTGTCATGTCGTTGACCATCTATTGCTAATTGGAAAAAACTGCTAGAATGTTCAAAATATTGCTATGATTACTGATTTTCCCTTTATGATACCGAAAAAAATTGCAAAGCCAGTAGATTCTTGGAGGTTCTGGAACAGACCAAATATCTGTCAACAATATTTAATATTACTACCCAATTTTGGTCAACAAATAACTTTTTAACAAACAATTCGCCATACCTTCAACAAAATTAGTGTAGGACTTGTTGTAGTCAAATCAGAACTACTATAATGATTTTATGTTCTACCAAGCAAGTAAAATCTCCGAGATATTAAAGCCAATCTGAACCCAACCTAATACGTGAACTTAGTTTAGAATACACACCGATTCCACGAGCATAAATATTTGTCAGTTTCTTGAAGTTTGTAAGAGTGGAAAATCGTAGAATGAGAAATGAAGGGATAAACAGTAATGAATCATCATCAGGAAAATAACTTACACTGCCCAGAAAGACTGGAGTGAGTTAGTTGAGTTGCTAAAAATGCAAATGATCAAGGACAACAACAATCAAAATGTTAAAAACTAACACAAAAACACACATAAACAATCAAAACAACAATCCCACTCGTATACTTTTTATAGAACACATACAACAACACAAATGACAGCTGACATGAAATAGTGCCAATATTTAGGTTAGGAACCCCCCTCAATGGAAACCAAAGAAAATAGAAAAACTCGAACCACTTTCCATGGTCAATAGAAAAACAGATTCAAGTCACAAAATACGCTCACAGAAGTTCTTCAAGTTGCCACTACTTGTGGAACGTTCTGACATGCATTGGATAAAAATCGATGCAACTACCAAATTACCTCTTCGCTGCGCATAACTTCCTTGAATTCGCGCTTTATACGCGATACTGCCATATTCACTGCCATGATGGATACCTTTTTGTTTGTATTTCTGATAATCTGTTACGTTTACAGTTCGTGGAGTTCCGTTTTGCTCTTCCAGTTGAAGAAAGCAACTTTTGACCCCTAGATAGTTTTTTTTCTTTCTTCAAAAATCCGTCTTTTCTGCACACAATTGTTTTTGTTTTATTCTTCTTTAGTTCTTCTTCTACTTCAGTTCAACTACTGCTCGCTTTTTTGTATGCTTTCAACGAACACACACGCACACAAACACACAGCAGCAACGTTCTCGCAAATAAGAACAAGAAAAAGTTTGCAAAAAATTAATCAAAATAAAAAACAGCCATTCGAATATTTTATTCGTTCTGAATTTACTTGGATATTTCTCCGGCTAATTTCTCTTTTATATTATAAAATTTTCCAAAATAATTGAACAATTATTTTGAAATATGAAACGAAAATATTTTTTGATTTATTTTTATTATTTTTGGTTGAATTTTGGAAGAAACAAAGTTGGTTAATTTGAGACAGAGATGTCACAATGCCGATTTAAATAAGGAAAGAAATCGATGTATCCACTGATTTATCGATAGTAGAAGCAAAATGAAGAGATGCCACATATATGTCATTAAAAATCATATTGGTCGTTTTTGGGCAATACGGCCGTACAAACACTTCGCCAAAGAGGGTATTTTGTACGGTGCGGTATTATAGCATGTTTCCATTGAAAACCGAACAACGTTGTTCGCTCTCAGAATTAGGTACACGAATTAACCCGTTTACACGGCACGATTCCTAGTTCATAGTAAAATAATTCATTTTTTCAAAAATTTTGTTTGTTGATTTTAATGGGAATTTATACTAAAATACATTAAATTCTCACTAATATGAGTAGAAGAAATGATTGTTTTTCTCCCAAAGATTTATTATATCATTAATTTTATAATTTTCATTCATGTTTTCAACTTTTTGTGTAAATGTTGACATTTTCAACATATTTTTTATTTTTCTGTTTTTTAATTCTGCTGGAGAGACACTTGTCAAACATTTTTTTCTGCCGATACAAACATTTTGAAAATATTGCCTCTTTTGTTTCCAGTTTTCTGTGGAAATTTCAACTCGTGGACAAAATGCGTACCTCGGATGAGAGAGAAAACAAAATTTACTTTCGTTTGAATGTACATACGCTATTCAACATTGTAGTTTTAATTCATAATTTTCAGTCTTCCCAAAAACTATTAACATTTCATTAAATTTTTCTATTTTCAATTTTTAAATGTCATAATTTATTTTTTCAATAAATGCTCTCATTTGTTAGGGATGGGACACATTTTTTCGTTGTTCTGAGAGTGATTTGATTTGAACAATGTAAAAATATGAGTGTTCGCTCAGGAAATTTTGTGTGAAGAATTAAGTAGTTTTTTCATAGTTAAGGGTCAAACAACGAATAGAGAGCGAATCAAGTGCAGTGGAAACGCCACATTACAGCGTTATGCTATGTTCCCATTACACTTTCAATCACGTTGTTCGCTCTCAGAATTAGGTACACGAATTAACCCGTTCATACGGCACGATTCGTAATTCATAGTAAAATAATTCCTTTTTTCACAAATTTTGTTTGTTGATTTGAATGGGAATTTATACAAAAATACATGAAATTCTCACTAATATGAATAGAAGAAATTATTGTTTTTCTTCCAAAGAATAATTATATAATTAATTTTACAATTTTCATTCATGTTTTCAAGTTTTTGTGTAAATATTGACATTTTGAACATATTTTTGTATTTTTTTAATTTTAAATTCTGCTGGAGAGACACTTGTCAAAATTTTTTTCTGCCTATACAAACATTTTGAAAATATTGTTTTTTTGTTTGCAGTTTTCTGTGGAAATTTCAACTCGTGGACAAAATGCGTACCTCGAATGAAAGAGAAAACAAAATGTACTTTCGTTTGAATGTACATACGCCATTCAACACTGTAGTTTTCATTCATAATTTTCAGTCTTCCCAAAAATTTTTAAATTTTCATTAAATTTTTCTAGTTTTAATTTTTAATTGTCATAATTTATTTTTTCGATAAATGCTCTCATTTGTTAGGGATGGGACATATTTTTCGTTGTTCGGAGAGTGATTTGATTTGAACAATGTACAAATATGAGTGTTCGCTCAGGAAATTTTGTGTGAAGAATTAAGTAGTTTTTTCATAGTTAAGGGTCGAACAAAGAATAGAGAGCGAATCAAGTGTAGTGGAAACACCACATTAGCTTTAATTCGACATAGCGTTAACAAATAAACTTCAAACTTCTCCATTATGGTAAAATGTTTTGTAACTCAGTATTACCGAAAAACGCTAGGTCCATATTAAAAATCTAGCATCTAATATTGTTGTAAAAATATATAGCTTTTAGAATTGTCCCAATTGTTATATATTCAAATTACAAACATTCACATTAGGAGTGTTCATTTACTCGATAATTTGTACAATTTTTCCTAGAAGCTGTTCGTTTACCCAAAAGTCCAGTAAGTAAGAGCGAACTGAGAGAAACATTTTGACATTTGAGTTACTGAGAATTTGCAATTCTTTCTGGGAAAGTAAGAATTATACAGTAACATCAGCTGTTCAATAATCATCTATATATATGAAGAAAAAGCGTAAACGTAAATTAAGATGAAAAATAAATTTAAAAAATTTAAGGGGCGGATGGTAAGCTACATTGTTTATTTAGGTGTCAAATCCAGCTTAAAAAGTGTGCATCCTTGGTACACCATTGCCTATAAATATATCGATTAACGATTCTGGGATAATATATATTTGTTGTAGACGGTATCTTTGTTCGTTTAAACGGTTTATGTTTCTTTATATTTTTATTTCTTTTTTTGAAATGAAAATGTAATAATAGCATAGACGGTGAAACAAGACTGTTGCTTTTCTCAATAAAAATTTTTTTCCCTGAAGATGACTGTCGAAGACAGTCGAAATATCGGAAAATAAAAATCAAAATTATAAAAATAAAACACTGATGTTTTTCAATTGACCTTAAGCCAAAATAAAGTTAATAAGAATGTAAAAAAAATAAACGGCATCAAAATATATCTACTGTCATGGCACAATTACAGTAGGTAGAACAAAGCTACCTCATGAATACAATTTTTTTGGTGCCCCTATACAAAATTCTAAGACGATTTAGCAATGTCCGTCCGCCAGGTGAAATCACGCTTGAGTCAAAACGAATTAAGAAAGAAAGTTAACAATTTTCATAGATCAGTCTTTTGTGTTCGAAGATGGGCTATATCGGTCGATATCGTATGACCCGAATATAACGGTACCCCCCGATATTCGGTGTTTTGATGATTTCATTCACATTTTTCAATAGAATTGTCTTTGTGGGTACTTTACCGACTGTAAGAGAATTGTCTATATAGATCCGCGATGTAGAATTCCCCCATATACCGGTACCTCCCGATATTCGCTATTTTGATGATTGTAGCCAACTTTTTTAATGGAATTGAGTTCACACCAGGAGTTGCTTCTGAGTAAGTTTTGTATACCAGCTTTAAGCAGTTTTGTATACCAATATATTTCGATTTAGCATTAGATTTAAAAAATCCAAACTTTGAGTTGAGTTAATCTTGTATTGTAAATCATCGTAAATTCCATGATACAATAAGGAGATAGAACAGCTTCATATAACTACAGAAATACAACCCTGAGCCAATATCCGCTTCCTGTCAGACTCATTCAAAATTATATGCAACAAGTTGTTTTCATTTTTTTTTCATATTTTTCCTTATTTTTAAAATGATTGACTCATATAGCTTGAAAAATGAATGAAATGCTTGGATTTTCTCTCAAAAATATTATCCAAACTGTTTAATCTTTTAATTTCATGGCTGAACTGGTTGGCAGCTATAAAGCGCGAGCCTCAATGTGCGTGTCTTCCAATCATTCGCTTCGAAAATATTTTGTTTTCAAACAATAATCAGCTGGTAGCTGCACCTTTTTATTGTACCATGGTATAATCATGGAATATTTCCGTTGACAACATTCAACTTTAAAAAATTAAAAATGAAAATGTCCTTTGAAATATACGGACAACTTTTATTCAGTATGAAAAAGAAAACAGTAGTTGCTCTATTCCAGAACCTGCAAGAATCTACTCGTTTTGCAGTTTTTGTTCGATATCATAAAGGGAAAATCGGTTATCGTAGTTAAATCTTTCACATTTTTGCAGTTCTGGAACAGACCATCTGTTAGTTTTGCAATTTTTTTCGATATCACATGTCAAAATCAAAGAGGTAATCTCATTTGTCAAATCTGCAAAGGCAACCCTATTTTAGTTTGGCGTCCATCTTTCATACAGGTAGTCGCATTGACACAATTGCCGTCATACCGATTTGGAAATTGAAAATATTGAATGAAAAGTTATTGAAATTTGTAAAAATTGTTGAAAAAAGTATATTATAACAACCTCCGATTAGCGTCGTGTAAGAAAACGTAAAAAATTTGCATATTTTCAAAAACAAATAAAACATTTCAAAATATTTGACATATTAATGTTCCCAAGCCATGGTAGAAGAATATAGGTAGACGCGTCGACACAGCTGCTGGAACAATGAACTGTCAAACCAATTTTGGAATTGAAAATGTTGAATGAAAAATTATTTAAATTTGTAAAAATTGTTGAAAAACGCGAGTTATTATACCCTCCGAATTGCGTAGTATAAGAAAATATTTAAAAATCTACTTATATTTGAAAAAAACATTTAAATTTTTTTGACATATCAATGTATTCTTCTGCCATGTTCCCAAGCGTTGTGCATCGACCTGCATTCTTCTATGTTTAGAAAGAATGGAGGCACCAAAAGAAAAAAATTGTATGTGTGAGGTAGCTTTGTTCTACCTTCTATAATTATGTCATGTTTGTGACTTTTATTTCTGTTGTAATTTAGTGTCTAATTTATATATTTTTGAGAATTTTTATATTTCAAATAGTAATAAAATAATAGAAAAAACTAGACAGTTTTATGCATTAATTTGTAATATCTTTAAAAAATATGATTTTGTGTAAAGTAATATGTGGCACACTGTATGTATGTTGAATATTACTTTCTTTATAATTCGCACAAGTTCATTTTAGTTTGTATAAGGCATTTGAAAAAGAATACGTTTTGCTTGTCGTTAATGGCTCGGGCGACCATGTGCGCCGGGTCCATTAAGCATGCCAGACAAACAACCAACCAATACTAATATAGAACTACGCAGGAGATAGTGCGCAATTTATTATTAATTGGTCGATGTTGTTGCTCTCGTGGAAGTGATCGTGTTCGTTAGCTTCGTTGCCTAAGGGGGCTTGGTTTTATGTTTTTTAAAAGTGTCTTAATTTTCTACTTTGATATTGTATTCTGTCTACCCACTTGCAAATGTGTATTGTTCTGATATGAATATTGATTTTGTTGTAGTCTAGACAACAAGATGTTCAAGAAAAAGAGGTACACATAATATTTGTTAGTTTAATACTTAGAAAAAAGG